AAAAAAAAAAAAAAAAAAAAACAAATGTGGAGCCAGCCAAAATGAGAGAAAGATGCAACCAAAGGGGAAAATGCTATAAATGCAGTAAAGAACAGAATTAACACTGGAGAAAATGCAATCTGTGAACTAGCTTTCCAAGACAGTACAAGAAAAAGCTAAAGATGAAATGGCAAGAGAAGATAATAGATGCAGAGTGAAATAGTATTAATAGAAATCTAACTGTGGATAACAAATATTCCTGGAAATGCTAGAACAAAGGAATTAGAAATAATAATCACAGATATGGTAGAAGAGGAATTCCCTTAGTGTACAAAAAAAAATCCAGATATTAATGGGAAAAAGTCCCATACCTGGACATAGCCTACGAATCTAGAATAAAGAGACTATTATATAAGCAACCAGACAGAAAATAATAATTTACTCAAAAATAGAAAAAGTTAGGCTAGCTCCTATCTTTTTTCACTAGCTCCAAATGAAGTAATAAGTACTCTTCTAAAGAGAATACTTCATGATCTAAGCATACTATTTCAAGCCAAATTTAATTCATGAGTTCAGGCAATGGAAAGATATTTTCAGATATCTAAGAATCAGAAGCAATTTCACTTCTGTAGCCTTCCTTAAAAAAATTATTTAAAGATCTACTCCAGGGAGGAGCTAAGATGGTGGACAAGGAAAGCCGCCAGTCAGAGTGTCTCTGCAAAAAAGACCGATTTTAGAAGAAAATGAAAAAAATAAACTAACAGAAAACCATAGATCGGATGAGGGTCGGAAGGAAGGTGCCTGAAACTACAGGAGACTCCACGGGAAGACGTTGCGGAGGAGAACTGGAAGGAGAAAGGTCCCTGAGATGCTTGGAGACCAGCGACAAGGGTAGGTGGAGCAGATAACTTTCCCCTCCCTTGCATCTAGGACTGTTGGTGGGCTCCTGAGTGGTTGGAGAGACCTGCCATCACCAGCCCAGAGACGGCTGCTGCCGGTGAGCGGTGAGCCGTGAGCCTCTTGCGGACAGGGCACCAGGCTCCCAGCTCCCTCGGGGCACCCCCCCAAGCACAGACCCGAGCCTATCGGCAGACGCCATATTACTCCATTCTCTCCTTCCCCTTCCCTACCCGTGCGTGCCCAGAGAGACAATTTAGCCATCACATGGAGGCATCTCCAAGAAATGGGACCTTTCCTTTTGGGGCCCTACTCAGACTGTGAGCTCCCTACCCGCCAGCCCTCCCAGGTGCTGCTTGCCTGGTGACTCCAGGAGAGCAGGGCAAATCCTGAGGTGGAGTGAAATCGATCCAGCTTGGGCACCCTGTAGATGATTCGAGACCAGCACCCCTCCCCCTGGCAGGGTCAGGAATTGATCTCCAGGGCCCAGGGCACAGGCCTGCAGACCAGACCCTGTACACCCAGGTCATGATCGCACTGCCCCTGGGCACAGAAGGGAGATCTGTGAAAGAGCCTACTGAGGAGGGTGTGCCTTCAGGGGCAGACCAGCATGCCTGAGCAGCAACCCTCCTCCCAAAAGAGGGCTGTGCACCCAACTAAGGCTACGATCCTGGGTAGGGAACCTCCCAGCCCACGTCACAGCCAGGGGAGATCCATTGGCCTGAGGTCCTGCTTTCTAGCAGAGGCCTGGGAGAGGCCACAGAGTGGGGGGAGAGTGGAGGGGAGCGAGACCTGCTCTAGAGTGTGGGTCTCAGACAGCCCCGCTTCCCAAGCCCAGACTTTTCAGCTCAGTGGAGCCATTTCAGCCCCTCCTGGCACAAGAGGGCCTCTTCAGAGGAACAAGAGCTGGCTACAGGACCCAAAAACAGTACTGCAGCTCGCTCCTCCCAGCAAGTGCCACCTACTGACAGGGAGGTCATTCTGCACACCCTTTTACTGCATCTACAGATTCATCATAAAGGGTGTGGTCAAATCTCACCCACAAACACCACCTACTGGCTCAGAGACTAAACAGGACATGTCATTATCCAAACGAAAATCTAAAGGCAAGAGAGAACAACTGATCCAGATGGGAAGGTACCAGAGAACGAACTCTGGAAGTATGAAGACTCAAACGGAAAGCACACCCCCAAAGAGGAACAACAGCTCCCTTGCAATTGACATTAACCAAACTCAGAACACTAAAATGACAGAAGAAGAATTTCAAACATGGAGGATAAGAAAACTCAATGATACACAAGAAAAAATGGATGACCAACACAAAGAAACCACAAAAAAAAAACCCCAGGACTTGGAAGAAAAATTCACTAAAGAAATTGAAATATTAAAGAAAAACCAAACTGATCTCCTGGAAATGAAGGACTTATTCAGGGAACTACAAAACACAGTGGAAAACCTCAAGAACAGAGTAGATCAAACAGAAGAAAGAATCTCAGAGATCGAAGACAGCTCCTTCCCATTAAACAAGTCAGTCACAGAGATCGAGCAGAAAATTAAGAGAAAAGAAATAAGCCTACAAGAAATGTGGGAGTATGTGAAAAAACTGAACCTGAGGGTGACAGGGATTCCAGAAGGTGAAGAAGAAGACACTCAAGGGCTGGATAAACTATTTGAAGAATTGATAGAGGAGAATTTCCCAGGCCTTGCTAAAAATCTAGATATACAGGTACAAGAAGCTCAACAGACTCCAGGGAGATTGAATGCAAATAGGAAGACACCACATCACGCAGTCATCAGATTGACCAAAATATCCACTAAAGAGGCCCTTCTACAAGCTGTAAGGCAAAACAAACAAGTAACATACAAAGGAAAGCCCATCAGAATAACTCCAGACTTCTTAACTGAAACCCTACAAGGAAGAAGAGACTGGGGTCCCATTCTCACTCTTCTGAAACAGAATAATGCCCAGCCTAGAATGTTGTACCCTGCAAAACTAAGTTTCATATATAAAGGAGAAATAAAGACATTCTCAGATAAGCAAAGACTGAGGGAATTCACCAAGACAAGACCAGATCTCCAAGAAGTACTCAAAACAGAATTACACAAAGATCAGGACAATAAACACTCACGAATGTAAAACCACTCAAAAATTAAAGATCAAAGGCTAGATTCCACAATGGCTCAAGAGAGAAAACAAAGCAACAAAATGCAACCCAACAGAATGAACAGTAATTCACCCC